TAACATTTGTGGTAAGGGCAAAAATGGTAGTGAAAGCGAGAGTTCTAGTATAAAAAATCGCACAAACGACACAAATGATAGTGATTTCACTAGAAGAGAAAGTTCTAATGATCTCGATGAAAATCAAAAGTACAAGCATTTGTGGATAGAATGTGAAAATTGTTATGGATTAAATTATAAGAAATTGTTTCAATCCAAAATGAATATTTGTGAGCACTGTGGATATCATTTGAAAATGAACAGTTTAGATAGAATTGAACTTTCGATTGATCAGGGTACTTGGAATCCTATGTATGAAGACATGGTCTCTCTGGATCCCATTGAATTTCATTCAGAAGAAGAACCTTATAAAGATCGTATTGATTCTTATCAAAGAAAAACAGGATTAGCTGAGGCTGTTCAAACAGGTACAGGTCAACTAAACGGTATTCCTGTAGCAGTGGGGATTATGGATTTTCAATTTATGGGAGGTTCCGTAAAATACCAATGAGCTTTTACCTCTTATTCTAGTATGTGCGTGTGGATAGAATGGGGTAAAAGAGTAATTGAACAAACGTTAAATAAGGCAGTACCCGAAGGTTCACAAGCAGCAGAATTTTTATTCCAAAAAGGCTTATTTGATTCAATCGTACCGCGTAATACTTTAAAGTGGGTTCTGAGTGAGTTATTTCAGCTCCACGCTTTCTTTCCTTCGATTCAAAATAAAAAATCAAGCATAGACTAAAATTATTTTTTTTTTCAAAAATAAATTATGAGACAAAAAGCAAATTAGAACACACAGGAGAATAGTAAGACGATAATACTCGAAGAGTACTAAGAATAAAAAAACGGGTGTATTATCATACATATGCTTCTTGCAGAAATAGAAAGCGAAATCCATCCATTTATTTCATTCTACATTCCTTATATTATTGATTATTTGATTCTATTTATACTCTTGATTAAAGAGAGAGACACGTAGAGATAAAAGGTAGGAAGCTCAAGAGAGAAGAGTGGACGCAAAAAAATAAAAGCAAGCTCTCTTGTCAAATCACAACTTCCACATTAGGTGAAATGAGGACTGACAAAAGTAATTAATGGCTCTGATCTCTGATCAACAGAACAGTAGTATCTCTCTCCTATTCCCCAAAAAAACTTTAATCTCATACTACCATCCTTATAAACAAGAGAATACATCGATATCAGGAGCAAAGAAAAAAGCGAAAGACTATGCATGACACCAGAGATTATAAACTACAGAATAGGTGAATGAATGATACAGGGCTACACAGCACAGCTAGATAGTTTTAATATAATAATCAATGGAGTCATAGCAGCAGGGATTTTAACTACAATTGTTTAAAATTAAAAAAAAAATGATATACTATTTAATATGTTTATAATTTTAAAAAAATAATAATAATATTCTTCATCTTCAATCTTTATTAATAATTTGATAATATCACACTATCATTTTTGGAAAGAAAAAAGATTCAAAATTCCATAAGAAGCCAAGTTTTTGAGAAAGGTGAAAGAGAGAGACACGTATAGAAAGGTAGGAAGTGGAAAAGCTCAGGAGAGATGCAAGGAACCAAATAAAGCTCTCTTGTCAAATCACAAATTAGGTGCTCTGAGGATCTGACTCTGACTCTGATCTCTGATCAACAGAACAGTAGTCTAGCATCTCTCCTATTCCCCAAATAAAGTAACACAAACAGCGCAATTAAACTTCAATCTTATTAAGAAATTTTTCAAATTCATTTATGTATTTATTTTCTTCTCTTTAAATTAATCACACACTAAACTTAAACAACTATTAATTAACCTCCTCTTATATACATGCATGTTTTTAAAAGCAGAGGCAAAAAGTAATAATACTGAGTGAACCGAAACAGAGCTTCTAAGATTCATTCAGTTATATATAAGAAACTTAACACTACAAACAAAAGTAATAATACAGACAGATACAATGAATGAACCATCATAGAGCACAAACAAATATACATACATGACACGTACAGTATTAATAATGAGGATTTAAGAAAAAATAAAGGTATGGCATGGTATGGAGGGGAAGTTACCTTATCCTCAGCATTCAGCAGCAAGTAAAGGAAGATTATTGAGAAGAATCTCAACTCAAGAGGCTCAGTGTCGGGGGCCATCAAGAGGACTAGCTCAGAAATGCCTCTGTTCAGTGTCTTTTTTGAGCTGAGCTACAAATACAAAAAGAAATACATGTTTTATGGTCGCTGAAACAAAAAAAAAGAAAGAAAAAAAACGCAATAACACACTTAAAATAAATGGAAGAACCAATGAAATGAAATGAAAGCAGAGGCGAAAGAAAGTTCCTTTCCTGTGAGTTGAGCTGCTGCTTGTAGTTGGTAGCTTATCTTGTTGAACAAGATCTTCAACAGTATTGTTATTGTGAGTTGAGCTGAGCATCGGCCAAAGGTAACCACCATTTTTGTGATTTGATTGAAAGAAAGAAAGAAAACTTGAAGAAGAACATTCATTCAAGTCAGATTCAATGAATCGTTTGTTTAGAAGGAAGAGAAGATAACGAAAAGAAAAGGTAACCAACCATTTTTGTGATTTGATTGAAGGGTGAGAAGAGAAGAGAAGAGGGGGCTTAGGGTTTTTCTTTGGTGGAGAAGAGAGAGAGGGAGAAGAAAGAGAGGAATGAGTGAGTGTAATTAAATTAAATCCCGCCCAATTAAATTACATTTTTTACGTTTAAGCTAGATGCCAGTGAAAATTAAAATTAAACAATGAAAACATATATGTACGAGTAAACAAGAGAATACATCGATATCAGTAGCAAGGACTCTCTTTGGGGGAAAAGATACAAGGAATATAGACTACAGAATAGGTGAATGAATGATACAGTGCTACACAGCACAGCTAGATAGTTTTAATATAATAACACTATCATTTTTTGGAAACAAAAAAAGCTTCAAAATTCCCTAAGAAGCCAAGATTTTGAGAAAGTGAAAGAGAGACACGTAGAGAGAGAGAGAGAAAGGTAGGAGCTCAGGAGAGAAGCAAGGAAGCAAAAAAAAGAAGAAGTGCGCAATTAATAACCAATAAAGCTCTCTTGTCAAATCACAACATTAGGTGCTCTGAGGATCTGACTCTGATCTTCGATCAACAGAACAGTAGTCTAACATCTCTCCTATTCCCTAAATAAAGTAACACAAACAGCGCAATTAAACTTCAATCTTATTAAGAAATTTTTCAAATACATTTTTTTATTTATTTTCTTCTCTTTAAATTAATCACACACTAAACTTAAACAACTATTAAGCTCCTCTTATATACTTTTTAAAAGCAGAGGCAAAGTAATAATACTGAGTGAACTGAAACTGAGCTTCTAAGATTCATTCAGTTATAAAAAACTTATCACTACAAACAAAAGTAACAATACAGATACAATGAATAAACCATAGACTATAGAGCACAAACAAATACATGACATACAGTATTAATAATGAGGATTTAAGAAAAAATAAAGGTATGGTATGGTATGGTATCGGAAGTTACCTTATCCTCAGCAGCAAGTAAAGGAAGATTTTTGAGAAGAATCTCGACTCAAGAGGCTCAGAGTCGGGTGCCATCAAGAGGAGAAATGCCTCTGTTCAGTGTCTTTTTTAAGCTGAGCTACAAATACAAATAAAAATACATGTTTTATGGTCGCTGAAACAAAAAGAAAAAAGAAAAAAATGCAATAACACACTTAAAATAAATGGTAGAACCAACGAAATGAAATGAAATGAAATAAAAGCAGAGGCGAAAGAAAGTTCCTTTCCTGTGAGTTGAGGAGCTGCTTGTAGTTGGTAGCTTATCTTGTTGAACAAGATCTTCAACAGTATTGTTATTGTGATATGAGCTGAGCTTGATTGAAGAGAAGAGAAGAGAAGAGAAGGGGGCTAGGCTTAGGGTTTTTCTTTGGTGGAGAAGAGAGAGAGAGAGAGAGAGAGAGAGAGAGAGAGAGAGAGAGAGAATGAGTGAGTGTTATTAAATTAAATCCCGCCCAATTTTAGATGAAAAATCTTTGAAAATTGTAAATTGTAAATTTGTGATCTGAGATGAGACTGCATCTGCATGTTTCGGATTATGCATTGAGAGGTGAGAGAGACTAAGAGCAATGGTTGGTTATTTTGATCAGTTTTTTTTGGCCCAATCCAATCCAACTTTAATTAATTATAATAAAACTTTAAATTATAATATTTGCGCTGAAATCAAATTATTATAGATTACCTGCTAAAAAGCGCGCGCGTGGTCAAGTGTCCAAAGCACATTACATTGATTTGCATTGGAGAGGGCCACACTTGACTTGACAATCAGACACTACACTACACTGAGTAAAAGCAATGCAATGAATAGACTTGGGTCGGGTGTTATTTTCAGCAGCATCATCTTTGTTTTGTTTTGTTTTGGGCCCAATCCAATCCAAATATCCAATCCATCTTTGTTTTGTCACTTACATACATCGAGGAGGGAGGGATTTCTTAATTCTAAATAAATAAATGTTAATTAAAATGCTAAATAATATATCTGATTCTATATCCTATACTATACTACCGTAGAAGGAGAGGAGGGGGAATAAATTATTATTATTAACTACTCAATGAAAGAATTAAATTATAGAACAGTTTCGGATCTTAAAAAATTATTTAGAAAGTATCTCATAGACTTTCTTTTACATAGAGGGCCTATAAACTTATAGGCCGACCTATTTTATATTATTTATTTTAAATTAAATATATAAATTATTATTTTAATGGTTTTGAATAATAAAATTATATTATTTTAATTATTTTCTTTAATTCTTGAACGTCTTGTAGGCTTAAACAGGCTAACAAGTCTATGTCAAGACTTTTGTTTTTTAAATATACGTCATGCTAAATTTATAATTTGGGCGTGCACAAGCTAACGAATCTGGCCATGCCTAAAGTATTTTACATGTGTCTGACCTATTTAAGCTAAAGCCTATCTCTATCCAGCCTATTTACACCCCCCTACTTTTAACAATGGTTTTTCGTTGTTGATTAAATGTGAGTACTATAAACATGCTTTTAACGTTGGTTGGCCCGCCCCGCCCCGCCACCAACCCGCCAAAAACGGGACAGGGCGGGTTAACCCGCCATTAAATATGGGTTGACCAACCCGTCAATTAAAAAAATAAATAATTAAAATTTAAAAATAAATTATATTTTATTAATTTTTCTAATATTATTTTATTTTATTTCACACTTCTTTTAATTTTTCTCAATCTCAATCTTAAATGTATACTAATATTTGTCAAAACATTCTTTAGGAACTCATTCGTCTCCATATAAAGATAACATTTGTCATAAATAAAATTGTTATTCTTTATTTTTTTTAAGAAGTACTAATGTAAAAAAAAAATTGGATATCACAAAAGTTTAATGACAAATGAAATACTACTTAATTGTAAAATATATATATATATATATAACCCGACGGGTCAACCCGTTTTGACCCACTTCT